ATAGTAAATTGAACGTGCTAAGTGATGTTGCTGTCTTTGCGCATTCTACTGAAATACACCTCTATACAAACTGGTTTGCGTCGAAATTGCACGCTAACAGCCAACAACAATGAGAAATATCCCCATCAAATTGATTGACATTTGTACATTTATTGATTTCTAGTGAGTACCAAATTACTTCAAGCTACGTTTTCGGTTCGAAACGTCATCCTCATTCTCAACTTAGTAGGCTCTGTAAGAAGAATGAACGAAAAAAAGGCGCTCCTATCCAAATATACATTGCAGGTTCGAGACCCAGGATTACTCCGCAGTCGCGATCAGTGATAACTGAGTGCCAGGATTCACTACCATTCTGGAAACGAAGTGGTCACTAGCACGCAAGTGTTGCCAATTGTGAAAGCTCTTGAACGGCTTTACAGCGAAAAAAACCAGCGCAACTACCTAATTACTATGCAGATTCAATCGTGATAAAGCATGAACGACACCACGACACCACGTGATTCACAAACATAGCACATCCATTTGTGATTCATTCCTAAAAAACACATTTCCAACCAAGAGGAATATACACGCCTTCCATGGAGTTACAGAACCATATCACTGGAATTAACGTATGTACCATGTAAATGAAAGCACAACAAGAGCAGAGTTCCCTTTAAAACACACAATTTACTGACCAGATGCACACACCAATCTACCAGGTTCTTGGCCAATTTCCATGAAATTCCCTAAACACCACTTCGGGAAGAACTGTCCAAATGCGGGACATTCCTGAGCTCACTACAATGCAAAGAAGGTTTTCGAAAAATGTTAATCTCCCGATTTCTGAAGAATTTTATGGTGAAGCCCTCCTGGAATACACATTGGTCAAAGGAGGCACCCGTTTATTTGCTTGACAAGTTTATTGACTAGACACAGATAAAATTATAAGGATGGTAGACACGAATATCCGCGCACACCGCCTGAAGGAAGGAAACATCTGAAAACTCTTGCTAATCTATTCTTTTAACAACACCCATAAATACAAAACGTTGCTAATTCCATGAAGTTTATCTCTACGGGTGGGAGCATGGAACTAGTTCTGAAACTAATGCTAGAATGATCAACACGACGTCTAGCCTAATATCGAAACCACAAAGAGTGTACCATATGATATTTTACAAACCGAGCTCTCGCATCTAGCCGATTCATGGATTTTTGTAATAAATAACAGCTGAGTACTGTAAGTTAGCAAAACTGAGGATGTTAACAGCAGTAAGAACACACAATGAACAACAACCGAAGAAGAGCCTTCACAAAGAAAGGAAAAACAGAAGGAAGTTGATTGCCTTTGTGACGGAGAAAACTATCTTCACAAAGTCCGAAGTTTCATGCCTATCAACTTATTCTTCACACAATCCAAAAGTCATGAAATATGACAATACCTGTAGCATACTAATGCATGATAAAATTAACAAACAAAGCGTAGAATGACGAATAAATGGATACACTAACAAAACAAATACTCATAGAAGTGTAATATGTAAATTAAACTGATATAATAAGCCTCTCAGTAGCACCAAAAGCACAAAAAAGTTTAATGGCAAAGCCGATATCAATGACTCTTGAGGGACAAGACCCGTCAACGAAGTTGAGGCAGCATCAACAAAGACTTTTGAAATTGCCGAAAACAGCGATCTAAGCATGGAACGGGGGATCTATCTCATAGATAAATGGATATCATATCAAACAAGGACCAACATTTTTTTGCTTACTTTGACGCATTCATGTGGTAAGTATAGGTCTACCAAGCTTTTTTTTCCAAAAAAAATGCCAAAAATCCTAGAAGCGCGTTTTCATTGCCATCGACTTTTAAGATAACATAGGCCAGAAGGACATTGAAAAGAAGAAACTGACTTAACAAAAAAACTCGACATTACATAGACGATATCTGGTCACAAAAACATAGAAGCATTCCAATCACTCAGTAAGAAGAAAAATGCATGCTTAACACAAAAAATAACGAAGATAAAGCAACGTTTTCAGTTTATATCGATATATCAATCAAGAAAAAAGGGCTACTTAACCGGTCTGAAACAAAAGAAAAACGACACTGAATAACAAAGATGAAAGGGAACTGGGGTAATGAGCCAAATATGGCTAGGGTAAAAAAGAACCTTTTCCAAAGAACAGCAGTAAATTTTGTTCTCAAGGTCCTTTTTCCATAGAATTCAGTAACTCACTTCACAAAGTAGTGGCAAACATCTAATGATAGCATTTTAAGGTTATCCTTGAACTGTCCACTCGAGAAGCTAATTCCTTATCAGACAAGATTCACAGCATTCGCTTTTTGGTCACCACTTGTTTGGGACGGTGCGCGAAGAATAGAAGGTCGCATTGAGTGAATCGTCGACTGCACTGTCAGCTGAAAAAAAAGAAGCTAAAATATTAAAAAGTTAGGTTACCACATTCGCCATCAAAAACGAGCAACGAATATAAAACAATACTTAAACAGCCGCATATGCGGATCAAAAATAATTGATGACCCACAATAAATTTAAAACGTGTGATGTTAAATTTGCTGCCTACTACTATTTTTCAAAGCAGGGTATGAAGTGAAATACAACCAAAACGATGCTCAGATATTCACAAAATTTTGATCCCTGGCCAAACCGAACCACGATTACGCTTTCCGTGGGCTCGCGCTTTACACCGTTCACCACTGATGCCCTTGCTTGCGTTTCTCTCAGCTAGTTTTCTACCTAACGCTGCCATCAGCAATCACCCGAGTTTGATTTGGGAAGCATAAATCGTTATTGAATCCCATTACACTGAGGCTGTAGTCGATTAAAACGTATAGACGTATATAAAACACGAATCGTGCAAAATCAACATCAGATTTTGTCATCATGAGATCTACACATACATACAATTAATCCGTACTTACATTTTTGCTGTACACCGCCTAACTTCTAGCTCAATTCTAGCAATATAAACTTGCCATACAATGCTCTTTCTGAAAACTAGTTCACATAACTTTAGTTTAAACGATTCTCTCAAAGCATCGTTCTGCATCATAACGTCAAACCTGAATATAAATGTGGTACTAAATGTTAGACGTTGGTGAAACGATTACAACAAAGAAGTAATGTGATGAAACTGATGAAACCGTACAAAAACCGTAGCGTATGCATCCAGACATGGACAACACCTTTCAGATGTGATCACCCGCAGATTGCAAGTCAATACCAAAGGAAACCCCATGAGAGCGTATATCATTCTTTGAGTGTATAAAATCCTACAGAAAAGAATTAACAGTTCCTTGGCTATTATACCATAAAAGGTATTCAGTCACCATTGCAGCCGCTTTGCTCTTCGAGAAATCTAAACTGGATTGTTACCCAATGTCTTCCCACCTGCAGCGCTTGCATAGATTGAACGTTGGGTTCTTGACGTTATCTCTTGACGTTTCGTCGTATTTGAACAGCGATCAATTTTGTCAGGAAAACAAAAGTCAAACACCATGCCAAAAATGAACTTCTCACCATAAAAACACTCGTCCTTGTTACAAAGGTTAAAAAGTTGACAGATGAACTGAACTGATAAAGAATGGTATACTAAATCTTGAACAGCAAAAAAGTAAAACACAGATGATAAGAACAAAAAACGAGATTATACAAAAAATAAAACAACAGACATAAACACTAACCTGTTCGTCGGCCTCTGGCACCACGCTCAGTTTCTTATCGCTCATCTTTCGTTGCGAATTCAGTTGCAGGAAGACGGACGAAACAGATTTCACTAACTCCTTAAAAACTAGCAAATTAATCCCAACCAAAACAGATACAATGCTTTTCAGTCGAAACAACGCACAATAAAAGCCTTAGATTATACTCCATAGGGGTTTGTGTCGATGACACCAGAGCTCATCTTAATGGGCATTCTTTTCTTTATTTTACCGTAATCAGTTAGAATCTCATAAAGGCTTGCAAAACCTGGCCAAAAATAGCCTGCATTTTCTGAATGTGAGTGTTGGTTTTCAAATGGTTACTCAGAATTGAGCCGGCGTAATAATCGTAATAGTTTCAAGTTTACTTTCTTCGTCAGATACTTTGAATCGCAATACCTGTGCTAATAATTAAAAAGTAAATAGTAATGTAAAAAGTATCAACAAAAACGCTCAATGTCTTGAGAAATGAAGCGACCGAAACGCTTTTGCAGAGGCTGCTTAATAGTAGCGTACCTGGTCATCATCACACCGATTAATGAGTTCTTTGGACTCGTGTGATGAAGAGTAACTCGAATCGTTTCTGAAATATGAGGGAATAAATGGCACTGTAAAGTAATTGTAGAACTCACAATGTTAACGTTTTAATCGCTGCCTATTAAATATTTCCAAAGAGTATAACGTGAAATAGAACCACAATGATGCCGAGATATTTATTTGCGAGATAATTATTTGTAAAACTCCGGACCGTAGGTGCTTGTGATGGGGAGCGAATCTGCTATTACCTTTTCCTAGGCCAACATGTTCACCGGGTCTTTTATTTCCACTTTCTCTTAGTTAATTTTCAATCTAACCGTGCCATCAGCAATCAACCGTCAACGGGATTGATCTGGGTGCGAGGCACAAATCGCTATTGAACCCTTGAGCTGAGACTGTAGTCGAAATAATAAAATTTACTTTTTGCCTGCCACCTGACAGACACCTGCTGTTCGGAGTTCTGGAAATATCTCAACATAATTATAGTTGTAGCTGTCTATACTGAAAATCTTGCAACCTGTCCTATAGGATACATGGATTCGCAATGGTCCAAAACTCTCATGAAGTATAATAAGTCGCAAAAAAATACCATAGCGCTATACGTAAGTAAAAAATTCAGAATAAATGAGAAACAAACGAGCCGAGCCAACGTGACTTCTCGTGTTCGGTGACCTTTTACAGTGACTACCACTTACGCAACGATGCAAATTTCTATAAAACTGCTGATGATTCTCCAGTAGCTAGAGGCTCTACGGAGTTAAGACGCTAGCAATCTTATGAAAGTAACTTTACTATCCGTACTTTCGACTTTCCGAAAAATAATTTCCATTTCAAATTTGCTTAAGCGGAAGGCAGAGAAATGACAACGATGCGATTCATGACGAACACGTGAAAAATCGTTAAAAATAATACTCAAGGTTGACCAACTACTTCCATAGCTAGAGTAAGCAGCAACGTATAACATAGGCACGCTAGGTATCCTATCAGTTTGCAAAAGAACGGGTCGATGCTTCTCGTGGTCACAATCGCTGATCAGGATCGCAGCACGAAGTAAACTTTAAGGTATACCATCTAGGATTAAAAAGCACGAATAAAGATTGAAAAAAACCTCGATCCAGAAAGGAAAGAAACCATAGCATCGGGACAGGTAGCCATTGATACCAGCCATGCGAAGAACATTACACAGCAAAGGATCACGATAACAATAATCGCTAACAGTTCATCCATTTCTGAAGCATTTCCTGGTAAAAGCCATTCATAGAGTTACTGAAAAGTGAACGTCTTCAAAGAAGAAGTATTTGAAAGCCGAAAAATGTCTGTCGGAGGTCCGGCTAATTTTCAGATGTCACCCAGATGGGTATGATAGTCCATATAAAACTGGATGGAAGGAAACGCGAGTATGTCAGATACAATTGGCAAATAAGTTCTATGAATATCGAACATGAATTACGTATTTCTAAAATAGAACAGAGAGTGTCGTTACAAATAGAATAAACCACAGAATGAATTTACACATTTGCTACAGAGATGATTCCGATAATTCTCGACCATAAGAATCGTTGAAGACTTCACGGGGTTGTGGAAGAGGCTTTAGTTTACCTTGTTAAAGGTATACATAGGATTCAAATGGAACATTTTTTCGCTTCTAAATTTGCTTATAAATCCAATTGCCATAGAATTACGAGTCAGAGCTAAATTTTTTAAATTCTCAACGCAAGCGTGGCAACGTCAAGGAGAGGAAGAAGAAAGACCCTGTTAGAAGAAATGTCACATTTTCAACTGCATTCGCTTTCGCAACACAAAAGCCGACGAAACAAAGGAAAAAAGCTTTCGTGGACTCCAGAAGAGTTCAACTTCATCTTGGTAGAATAAGATACAGAATCAGATAACCTGTACCTGATTAACAAAAATCTTCAGATTTTATTTCTTTCATTTTATTCGATGTAATTCTTTATACTCCTGCTGAGCTATCACTAGGTGTTACTCTATTCTTTTTAACGGAAAAGCTGACATTTCGGCAGATTTCACCTTCCTATACGCAGCCAAATCTATTCGTTCCCTATAGTTCACTACGAGCAGAGAGGCGTTGGCTTAGAACTGAAAGCGGCCACTATTTTCGCTACATGTGTTCGCGAATGTGTTAGAAGCACATCAAAGCCACTCAACAGTTAGCACTGATAGCGATTAAAAAACGAGTCCCGTAAAAGAAGCGTTTCTGAGACTGGGAAATGAGTACATGACAGAGGTGTTATGCATTATTTATTGATCTTAGTTAAAAATGTTTGAAAGATAGTAGATCTTAGTGAAATACAACCACAACGTTGCTGAGATATTTGCAAAACTCTGGACCGCAGGTGTCTATGGTGGGGAACGAACGCGCTATTATCCTTTCCGGGGAGTAACGCGTTCACCACCACACCATGCGGGTCCTTTGTTTCGCACGTCTCTCAGCTATTTCTATCGATCTTTTTGCCACAGCAATCACCCGTCAGCGGGGTTGATCTGGGGAGCGCAAATCGGCATAGAACCCAGTTAAGCTATGGCTGTAGTTGAAATCACAATGTTTAACGTTTTGTTTTCTGCCTTCTATAATTTTCATGACAGGTTACTAAGCGAAATACAACCACAACGTTCTATAAAATACAACCACAACGTTCGAAATACAACCACAACATTGTGATTTCAACTACAGCCATAGCTTAACTGGGTTCTATGCCGATTTGCGCTCCCCAGATCAACCCCGCTGACGGGTGATTGCTGTGGCAAAAAGATCGATAGAAATAGCTGAGAGACGTGCGAAACAAAGGACCCGCATGGTGTGGTGGTGAACGCGTTACTCCCCGGGAAGGATAATAGCGCGTTCGTTCCCCACCATAGACACCTGCGGTCCAGAGTTTTGCAAATATCTCAGCAACGTTGTGGTTGTATTTCGCTTAGTAGCCTGCCATGAAAATTATAGAAGGCAGAAAACAAAACGTTAAACAGTAGATCTTAGTTACAAAATCTGTAAAGTAATAGATACAGGCAAAATTAGGTGATTATGCACAGAGCACGTAAAGCGGAGTGGTTAGAGGCGCCGTGCAATACCCATGGGTTCGATCCGGCACTAAAGGTTCACCAAACCTTCCATTCCTCTGAGACCGGCAAATTGGTGCCATATATGTTTGGGAGTATAGCAGCACTGGTTCCATACGGCGGTAGCCCACCACGAGACATTGTGAAGACCAAATATGCATTCAATCTCCACCAACGATGCTTAATAAAGTCCAATGCATGGTGCGCTTTATCCTTTCTATGCATCTTACCAAAGTTTCATGGGTTCATACCACAAAAAAACCATTTCGAAAGTGTGAACTTCGCCGAAGTTGAAGGCAAGTGTGAAAAGAAATAACACATAACTAATCGAACAGAAAATTAACGGAGCAAGAATCGTCTTCAGATTTCTAATAAGGTTTATTCCGTCACTATAGTTTCTACTGAAATTGCGATCTATACTAATGTCATTAAAAGCCGCGAAAACATTAGGTCACTATAAATGCCCTTATTTGCCAATATCAACGGGAAGGATTTCATATGAAAAATGACCAGGTGTTGACCATTAGCATGAAGTCCGTTAAATTTGTCAACCGTTAGTTCTGCCTTAAAAGTTAAGGTGCAGCGATGAATCTGGATGATAGTCTAAAGAAAACAAACCAATCTTCGAAACCAAACTAAGTAAATACGATCAAAGTTCTTGATCAAACTGGGTGTGCATAGCGAGCCGAAATATTACTTCTTACTCACACTACAAGTTGAACACCCGAAAGCCCAATTTGACGTTGATCGCCTGATGAGCCACATACGATTCATTTGTATACGAATGAGTTAAACAGTCCAACATCTATGAGACAAACTAAGCCCGAAAAAGTCAGACAACAGAGCAATCCGTGTGACCATAGAGTGATGAAGGACGTTGAATTTAAACAGGGTTAAAATCCTAACGTTAAAACTTTCCTCGCCTTTAATGAATATAGTGTCCATCGCTTTATACAATAAGCTCGTAAAAATGGTTAGTGAAGTTACAATGGGGTTTTGCGCCAGCCATATTACCAAATACCCAAGGGAATGCAAAACGATGGTCCAACGAATAATTTCGAATCACAGGTTACAAGGGAACACAGGGAAGAGTGCCCAGAGAAAACACGTGATCTTGCTCGGTATCTCAGAATTGCTTTTTGATGAGCGGTGGTGCAGTCATAAACCATATGCGACTCTGAGCGGCTGTTCTTCCTCAGTGGAAGACAGGTAAAAAACGGTGGGTTTTGGAGAAGCCGGTGGTCGTGTAATTATAGTTCGGATTTTCATCTTTCTGTGTGTGCTGTTGAAGAGTTTGACCTAGTAAACTGCATACCCACATACCCTTCCAGGCTCTGAAGAAGGTGATATCGGCTACTGTTGTATTGTGTTGTGTTTTTCTATGGAAGGAAATGTATGCTGTATAACAACCTCACGACTGATGAGAAAGAAAACGACGAATTTATAATCCAATGCCAAGTTTCGATTGAAATGGCAGGAACATTCTCAAGGAAGCAGAACATTAGGCGAGGAGACAAAAACAAAGCACAGAATATGCAAAACAACAACATCTTTTACCTTAGTAAAATTTCCACTAGTTTTCCGCTCTATCCAAGACCGAATTTTCTTCTAGGTTTTCGATCCACTCACAAGAACAATCTTAGGTGAAAAGGTGTGCCTAGCAGCAGAGTTGTAGACTCAATAAGTTCAACGGTCAACATGATGAAGTTCCAGAATATTCCACTCGTTACTGATGAACTGATCTTCATTGAGAGTAAAGTGCTAAATCCGGGAAAGCACTTCATTCTAAAGATAATGTGAGGTCCAAAATTCTCAAATTTCCGGTTAACAGAAATGGCGACGAAGACATTTACCCAACACAAATCGAGTTCACTACCCTCTTACACTTTTCTGTTCATATACTTCCTTCTTTTCATTATCCCACCGCAGTCAAAACACTGTACCAACTACGGAATTGTGAAGGACCCATTTAATTTTTAGCTAAGGCCATAAATCAAACAATTCATTAAGAGAAGAGATTCTACGGAACATTCTATCCACATACGCAACACCTGCTCAATTATGCGGCGTGGTATTACGTGATGTGATGATAAAATACGGCTTTATATTATGCTTTAATATATAAAATTTCATTACGCCAACTATTAAGCGGTATATTGACAGCTTGACAAGAGTTTAATGAAAACCCCAAAAACCCAATTTAAGAGTCACCACTTCGCCTTCAAGAACACAATTGCACCGACTGCATTGCTCACGCTGTCTTAAACACTTGGTTTCATGCGAACGCTCCACAAAAACAGAGCTGAAATGCTAACACAAAGTCAAACATCGTACTTTATCAGCCTGCAGAAGGAAGGTTACTACGAAATGTTGACAAACGCACCCATTATACCCGTTACTTCACATTACATTACATCGCAGCGTACATTCTACCCAGTAGGTGGATTCAAATGAGATCCTACCTCACCTCGCCTAAAAATACTCCGTCCTCAATTTCCACGTCAAAAAAGACCAGCACCGCCATTTCTAACAACCTACGATGGGAGTAGATCCCAAGTGGACACAAAGTTAAAGAACATCATGAGCGAATCAGAACATCAACATCGATAAAGACCATGAAGGAGCGAAACGAATGGGAAATGTGCTGGGATTCAGACGACTTGTGGAAAGGGAATAACCGATCACTCAACTACGTAGGAATTTTGCACCAAATTCGATCATTTCCTCACTCACACATATTTTTCACGAGGATTAAATAATGAAGCGAAGACTAGGAGACAAAATTGGAAAACCACCGTAATTTGTGTTGCAGTAACACAGGTTTTAGAAAGATGGCATTGTCGGTAACACCAATAGGGATAGAGTAGACCCAACTCTTGGGATCATACGCATTATACGGTCCGCAGGCGAATGATAACTCACTTCTAAGCATGAAAACTTCTACATTCATGGCTTACAAACAGCATTCGTAACGCATGACTGGACCACACCAATTACTTCGATACTTGGATGGCCCATATTCACTGATTTTCCGAGCTCCAGCATAATTTCCGATTTTTCGGAGCTTTGCTGGCCTAGCCATTAATTCTCTGCAATGTAGAGGTCAGCCTGGCCAAAGTCTGCCCCAGGTCATCACCACCAAAGGCAGTCAT